TTCATCTTTTTTTCCTTTTCATATAGCTCACCAACAAGTTGACAAAAGTATTAATATTCGCTTCAGCTTGGCCTCAGCAAGTTCCTGGAGTAAAGGTGAGCAATTTTATTGGCTTGTGAATTAATTCACTATATTTAGTAAATAAAGTGGTTTTACAAGAAATTCTATGTAACACATATTATAAACAATCGTTTCTGTTATTAGTTCAATACTCATTTTACTCCATCTTATTATTGTTGCATTTTATCATAAATCGTTGTGATTCTTCAAGACTCTTCTGAGAACTCAGCCACCAGCCAAGGACAGGATAACCCTAACAGAAAACCCTATGAGCTCAGGGCATCTCATTGGGCTATGACTTGTGAATCTCAAGTTAAAAGGGTGGGGTCGGTAATGCACATACTGCACTTAGCTTAAAATTCCACACGCCGCTCAGGGGATATAGACTGAGGGATATTCTACGTCTTCTGTACTCGACACGAGATGGTCTGCAACAGTCTTAGAAAACACTCCTAAATGTTTGTTTACGCAATCAAACCATGATGACGATTGTTTTATTACTCATTTTATTCCACCGCCATCATATTATTATTATTATTATTACCTTTGATTTCTGTTGTATACTCATTTTCTTGTGGGTCCCAACTAGTGACCTAAGGTCAGAAATGGCATTATGACATTTTCCACTGAAACTATTGGTAAAAAAAATAAAATAAAAATAAACAATCCTAAGATCACACACATTTTACATAGATAAAGCCCTTTTTAAGGTGTGAACTGAATATGTGAGAGCAATTTTTGTATTTGTTTAAGGCATGGGCTACCAGTAATCCCTTCAATGTGTCTATCGAACCTTTTCCAATCAAATCAAGGGCGCCAACCACAATTGGAATTATTGATGTCCCCATGTGCCACATCTTTTGAGATTATATTTCAAGATCCTTGCATTTTGATAATTTTTAAGATCTTTAAAGATACATTATAATCTGCCGGGACTGTCATGTCAATAAGAAAACACATTCTGTTTTTGTGATCTTTGATCACGATGTCTGGGCGATTAGCTTTGATATTTCTGTCGGTGTGTATTATAAAGTTCCATAAAATTGTTACAGGTCCTATGTCTGTATGTTTGGGTGAGGTTAATACCAGTTTCTTGCAGTTTCCCTCCAGTAAAAGTTGCTGATTTTCCAGTGCAGATATTGGCCCATTCTATCATGGCGAGTTTTATATTCAGTGGGTGCTAATACCGGGCAACCTGATACAAACCTGGTTAATTATTTCTGAATATTTATTACAGAATCTGCATTTCGGGTTAACACAATTTTTTAGTATGTGTGCTTGATAATTTCTAGTTAGCAAAAATAAAACCTTCGTTTTCAGTTTTTAGCCCTGCACCACTGATGGGCACGGGATTGTCTACATCAGCTTGTTCGGTACGAGTAGAGTATTGACTATGAAGAGGCTTGCCATTGTTTCTGCATTTGGCACATTACATTTGCTTTTTTTACGTTCTTTACCGCTGCAGTAGGTGTATTATGATTGTTTTGCACTTCTTCACCGCCTTGAAATTTCCTTTTGAATTTGTGGGCTTCCTTTATTACTAAATAAAGTTTCTTATTTCTTTCACGTTATTTGACACTGATCATCACCAGTCTTCTGTAGTTTCCAGGTATCTTTGAAGAGCGATTGGTGTGGTTTTGTAAGACAGTTCTAGTTGAACTAATTCTCTGTCTGCTTCGGATCTGGAGACATACAGATGATCAACATCAGCCTTGGGACGATGCATGCGGTGGCAAGTGAGAAGCTTTCTCGTTTTGGCGTTCACTCGCTTAATGTCAACCATGGTCCAATTAAGAATGTTGAAACTGTATTGCACCACAGGGACAGCCAAATTGTTTATGGCTGATATTCTTTTCTACGAATTCAACTCGGTATTTAACACCAGAACCACAAGCCTGTAGTATTCTTTTCTTACTTTCTCCTTCATTTGGGTATGTTGTATTCCATCTCCTTCTTCTTTATAGTCTTTTACTTGTTCTTGTTCCCAAATCCTTGTGACAAAATTTAAATCTATTGAGTGTGTTTCTGTAATTCTCCTTTTCTTGAATGTTACTTTTGCACATCTATCTAATCCGAAATCCATTCTGATGTTATCACTGAAACATTTTACAGAATTGAGGATACCCTTCAATTCATTGTCGTCTTTGGCAAATATTTTGATATCATGTAGAATAGGTGATTAAACACTTTCTTCTTTTTTTTTAATTTGTATCCATAGTTATTACTGTTTCGTTTATGCGAAAGGGGGATTAAGGACAGACAAAACAGAAGGGACGAAAGGGAGTTTCCTTGAAAGATTCCTCGTTGGATATTCAAACAATTGGAAGTGTCAGCACCTTTCGTCTGATTCAGGTATAATGTGGTTTTCCAGTTTCATACTATATTTAAGGAAATTTACTGTCACTAAGGAGACTTGGTACAGAGGATCGAATAGTGTGGTACACTATAGAAGGTTTCCGGTAGTCTATCCAAGCTGAGATTCCTACCCTTTTCCCTGCAATTTTCCAGGATCATTTAATTTATTAGTAGTTGACAGTTGCAACCATATGAACCTATTCGACATCCATTCTGTTCCAGGGGAAGAATGTTGTTTTTATCGAGCAAAGAGTAAGTACAGTTCATCAGGACAGACGTAATCAATCTATAAGTGGTGGACAGACATGTTATTGGCCTACAATTTTTTGATAATCTGTTTCACCCGTTTTTGGTATGAGATATGTAATACCGTCAGTGATCCATTTTGTAATTTCATTGTGGTTATTAATTAGCATTGATAATGTTCTCACAAGAGTTTTATGGATTGATGCCAGATGATAGAGTCGAAAGTTGGGTACCTTGTCATTTCCTGGGGATTTGCATTTATAGGATTTTGTTAGACCTTGCCTAACATTATTTTTTGTTATATTTTTTCATTCTTGCACAGGTTTATCCTTCATTCTTTCTTGTTCTCGTTTGATCTACTCTGCATTGGGATTATATTCCAGATATTCTCCCAAAACGTTTGCACTTCTACAACAGATGGAGGTTTTTTGACTTCTATAACTGCTTTTACAATTTCCCTGTAAAACTTCTTGAGATCCATTTGGAATATCTTATGTAGTCGATAAAACCTAAAATGCTTTTCATATCGTCTTATTCTCTGTAACTTTAATTGAAGTATCTGTCTATCGGAACCTTTTCCAATCGAACTGAGGGCTCTAACTACAACTGGAATTATTGATGCCTTCATGTGCCACATTTTTTTAAATTTCCACTTCAAGATCCTTGTAATTTGATAGCTTTTTGAAGGGCTTCAAAGCTACATTACAGTCTGCAAGAAAAGTCCATTCTGTTTTTGTGGTCTTTGATCACAATGTCTGGGCGATTAGCTTTGATTGTTTTATCCATGTGTATTGTAAAGTCCCATAACATTGTTACAGGTCCTATATCTGTAAGCGGGTCTAGGTGATGTTAATACCAGTTTCCTTCCCTTAAAAGTTGCAGATTTTCTAGTGCAGATATTGGCCCACTCTGTTATGCCTAATTTTATATTCAGTGGGTGCTAACACCGTGCAACCTGATACAAGATGGCCAGTTGTCTCCAGATATTTATCACAGAATCTGCATTTCGGGTTAACACAATTTTTCATTATGTGTGCTTGGTATTATTATTATTATTATTATTATTAATATATAAATTATTTCCTTTGATTTTTTGGATACACATTCCCTTTCCGATCACAATCAAAGACTTAAGATCAGAAATGACTTCATGACTTTTTCCACTGATCATTCTTGTAAAAGAAAAACTAAAATCACACACACTTTTGTGAGCTGTACTTGTGAGTAGAATTTCTTTGTATTTCTTTAAGGCATGGCTACCAGGAATCCCTTCAGTGACTCTATCGTAACCTTTTCCAATCAATTCGAGAGCTTCAAATACAACTGGAATCCAAATACAACACATGATGTCCTCATGTGCCACATTCCTGAGATTTACACTTCAAGGTCCTTGTATTTGTATAGTGTTTTGAAGATCTCCACATTACAATCTGCAGAGACTGCCATGTCAATAAGAAAGTACATTGTGTGTGTGTTTTTTTTTGTTGCTACATTTTTTATTATTACTAATATTTTATTACTGATTTTAATCTACTCTGTTTTATTATTGTTGTTTGTTATTCCAAACTCTAACCGCAAAAGCAAACAGTTCTAAATATCAGAAGCAGCTTCCGACGAAATTTGAATAGACATTTTACATCTAGCTTTCATGTGCGTTGTCTTAAATACTTAGATCATGCGTTTGAAATACAAAAATACAGTCAGCATTATTCAAGGATAACATTGGTTGATATTAGGCACAGGTTGAGTGTGTTGGCTACTTCTATAATTGATATGTAAGGTTTCTTACGAGAATATTACACAAGACATGAATTAATGGTGGTGAAAAGGCACATGCACAAAATAACAGAGACCGATTCATTTGCATTGCAAGATAACATTTATTAAACAAAACAATAAAAGGAAAGTTTAAGTTTTCTTTTCCTAGAAGTAAATTGCATACAAAACGAAAATGTTAATGGATACATTTGAGTGTGACTTGCCTGCGTAGATTTGTTTTAGTGTGAAGAGTCTACAGCCTTTTTAACTTCAGTGTGAAAAGTTAATATCACACACTTCGAAAGGAGGAAAACCGGAAGAGAGTTACTTTAAGGGTTCGCGTTGTTTTTCTACCCCCCGAGACTACTGTTAATACTATGTTTATTAAGGTACTACACAGATAATAGCACCTCACTGTGGAGTAATGTTTAGAAACCTTGTCTCAGAAACCCACACTACTGAAAAGAGTTGTATCATCAATGAGTACTTTGTATTTGTTTCAGTAATCAATAACAGTCTTTAAGAAAAATTACTTCTGGAATGAGTTCGATTCTCACTGAGGGCTCCACACTAAGCTAGCAGCTGAGGAAAAAAAGAACATTATGGTCATAGATGACTGAATATCTTCATGGTTATTATATGTCTTAGGAGTTAATAAAATCATAAGTATTCTTTG